CCCCCCCTCCAAGTGTTAAGCCTGCCATGTCACAAATTACATTCCTAAACCTTGCTAGTTGTCTGCCCCTGTTAGCTCTCATTAAAACAATCATGAAGCTGCTGTTATGCTCACTCAATTTTCTAAATGTTAGCAAAGTGGTCGGCAAATGAGACTTCAGTGCGGCTTGGCCAGTCGACAACAAATTCAAATCGGTTTTGACTCTGAAAAACATGGTTTTTGAAAAGAAATTTGGCTCTCAAGAAAATTTTAATCATCCTGCTGATTTTTGGCTTTTTTCACTAATGAGTTTGCCGACCACTTGGTTAACACTACATGAAAGTCTATTGGGCCAGATGTTTCTCTGCATAAATTGAATTTAAAATGTTCTTACTTAAAAAAATTTTTAAGTTCAAATATTTTTTTTAATGATGCTTAAATATTGAGCTTGTAAATTTAGTAAATGTTTTGTTCCTCAACTTGTTTGTCTTTTCCAATATTAGAAATTGTGATGTACCGGTATTATTGCTTCTTGTTTTTGTGGCAGTACTAGTCAAATGTTTGTGTTCTTAAACAATGGCACTGACTGTTTGGTTGTATAAACTGCTTTATGAAGTATCTTAAACTTAAATCTTTCTTCTCTTGGTGAAGTTTAAAAAGTTTTCGCCTGATTGTGAAACAGAGAGACATTGCTTCCTTATTTTTTAAAATGCTTGAAATTTAAATTCACTTCTAGATGCCATGATGCTTTATAAAGATCTCTCTAACTTGTTAAAATTGTAGCTCTTTTTTTTTTTTTCAAATCCTTAAAATAGTTTTGCTATTTTTATGTTTCAAAATTATGGGACCATTTTAAAAAAGCAATTTTGTATGCAGATGAGTTAATACCGTGTCATACTCATGGGGAATTATTGGTTACCAACTATGCTTAAAAATTTGGATTTTTGTAAAATAATTATAGTTACAATTACTGGGTTTGTCTAGATTAGTACATAAAGGTATTCTGGCAAACACTTAGACTTATGATTTAGCTCAAAAAAATTATTCAACTTATGCTCTAAGGAGGTTGTTGTTTTTTCTGCTAGCAAACCAAATAATTTCAATAAATTTATACCAAGCGCCATTGCTGTATCTAAAGCATAGGTTGTTACATCAGTGTTGCACAAGATCATGTCAGTGTTCAAATAAGCAAACAGGGCAACTCGCTATGATTATTTTAACACCCTTATTTTAGCTATTTACAGGGATGGCTTACTCTGTTACTGTGGCACTTGAATCTGTTTATTGGGGTAACTGCTTGTTTGTGTTTTGATAAAAATATCAGTTAAAATGTTTAATGGTAGAGCTAAATCTAGATGTTGTCATCTAAAATATAACCTAGGCAATGGAGGAAACTATGCCATAATATACTAGATTGTCAATGGGTTAGAAAAAAATAGTGGCACAATTGTAAGCTTTGGGGGATCAAGGTTTGATTTTATAATGCACCCAAAATACAATACACAGGTGTGTGTAAATACTTCCCCCCCCCCTCTGCAGAATAAGTGGGATGATCCAATTATAACAGACTGAAAGCAAACAGGACAAACTACTAAGTGAATGGTCTGGTACTTGGATTAGTTTGCTTTCCAATTTTTGTTTTGTTATGTGTAAATATGAACATGTTAAGTGTACAGAAAGTCCTGATAGTAGGATACATTTAATGCTGATACTTGAATGTACTTAGGGTTATTTTTAACACCACTCCCATTCCTGTAGTTAGAGACTTGATCATGTTGTGGAAGAGTTTATTAGTTTCAAATCTCTAATCTAGATTAGAAAAGTTGTCTGTAAAAGTGTAAGTTAATAATTTATTTTGGAAGACTTGGAAGTGTGGAAAGATTTTTAAAAATAATATTGACAATCTACCCTCAGAAGCTGGTCATTCAAGTATGAACCAGTACCAGCCTCTTTAAATTGAAACCAGTATTTAATGTTTTAAATGGATGTTTTCATTTTAAAAACGAGATTAATTTATAATGAATTCAAGGTCGATTTCATTATTGTCATGGTATCTAGACTCAGTGTAAATAGTTCCCATTAATATTACCCTATCAGTGCAATGTAGCTTTGAAAATGTAGAAATTTTTATCATCGTTATCACCTCCGTACATAACAGATAACAAAAAGTTTGTATTATAACAATAAAATTATGTAAACAAACAAAAAGTTGTTTCTCAAATATTTGGATGTTTTCGGTAAGATTATAAATTATCAACTTTAAAATGCGAAATAAATTTATAATTTTAAGATTTTAATGATTCCTCACAGCTATAACAGTTATATATTATCCTCTTTGTTAGCTCAATTTTTTGGTAAGATGAGATGCTTTCATTGATCCAAATAAATTAATTACATTGTACATAATTCCTTTTCAGCAAATTGATTTATATCAGTAAGATTATAATTTTTTTAACTAGAACAATTTAAGAATAAAACATTTAAATTATTTCTCAGCCATGATATTAATATCATAATAAAAATCACTTCTTTGGGGACTTTGTTGACTTTAAATTTAAACTTATTTGATTTTATAAATATCTAGTAAATTGTGACAGATGGGGAACAAATTAATTTGTATAATTAAATTAAAAGCATAATATCCTTTTCAACAAATATTCTTTTATCTCCCAAGCCTCACCATTTAATAACAGTCCTTAATAAAAAAAAGAATCAATAACTTGCACTTGGGTTTTAAATGATTTTATTTAAAATATAAAGTATTTTTAACAAACATGAAATTGATTTCTGAAAGAAAGCAATGTTGAGCTCAAATAAACTATCACTGCATCCTTCCATTCAACCACAGACATTTTAATGTTGACCACTTATGTTAATCTTGTGACCCACAGAGGTAAGCAAAGAGTCAAAATTATGATTGCCCTTGACTTAATTGGCCAATGTCACATGCAACAACATGAAAAGATAAAAATTTCAGCCAAGCAAACCTTTACTATTATGCAACAAGTACAACAGCATGACGTTGCAGTTTTTGAAACTATTTGATAAGAGAGGACCTTTGGAGTTGTCTCATTTAAATAGATTAATGTTTATCAGTTGAAAGCTGTACATTAGGGCAAGTAACAAGATGGAATGTGTGTCCTGGTAAAATTAACTACTTTGATTACACTTATAGTGAACAAAATTTTAATTTGTGCAAGCTCGACAAAAAAAGCCTAAAGAAAAGTTAAATCACAAAATGGGCTGAATTCAATTATTTAATATCGACATAAGTAGCTGCTGTGGCCACGCCGCAGTTGTTATTTTTCTGTGACATCAAGACGTAGCCATCGTTGCCCCAGTAGGTGGACCATGAGTTTTTAACCAGCCAGTAATCCTGACCACCAAGAGTTCCATATCCGACAGCCAACACTGCGTGATCAAGTCCATCTGGGTCACTCCCTGTTAAGTAATAATGATGAAATGGAGTTATAAAACTAGCCCATTAGACAACAGCTTATAAGTTTGTCCCTATCACCTCTAAATGCAAAGTTCACTCTGGTACAGTAATCAAAGATGTGCAGCTCTGCAAGTGGCAATATTTACATTAAGGTTGATATCATTACCCGTATATTATAGTTTCCTATCTTAAATATGATCTTCTTTTTATTTTCTGAATAAATTAAACATTAGTGGAAGCAGTCATCTTTGAAAATATTGATTACATTTTTTTTAAACTAAAAATTAATTCCTAAATCCTTATGACCAACAAAATAGTAGAGTTTTCACAGACAGTGTGAGGATTGAAATGGGCATGTAATTGTTGTGCACAGTGTTTAGTGTCTTATTGTGTGTGGTTTGTCTTATTGTGTGTTGTGTCTTATTGTGTGGGTGGTGTCTTATTGTGTGTGGTGTCTTATTGTGTGTGGTGTCTTATTGTGGGTGGAGTCTTATTGTGTCTGGTGTATCTTGAGTGTTAATATCATTGATGAGCATTTCTTGTTGCCATGAGGTCTATGAGGTAACTTAATGTTTCTGTGATATAGTGTCTAGACGTGCTGTCATTTGGCAGTTGCTGACTGAGCGGTGAGTGTGATGGTTGGATTGCGTTCCTCTAGCGACTTGCGCTCGATCACTTGGGTTTAAGTTGATGCCATTCTTCAAAGAGGACTTTGTGTTAGATTTTAATGAGATTACGACAAACGAACATATGAATGAATTAACATAGAGAAACTCAAACTTACAGATTTTTCACACCGTAATCCAATACTGAACATACAGATCGGATTTTTCATTTGGAAAAGACAACTCTGCTACCGTAGTTTTGCAAAGATTTTTATTTGGCTAAGAAAACTCTGCTACTGTAGTTTTGCAAAGATTTCATCAAACCAGTGACAATTTTTTGAGTTAAGCCATTTTTAAAAAGTTGAAGCCACGTCGTCCTGTTGGCCCTGCAAACGCTGGGGCTGCAGGGAACCCATGGTTGTGATGGGTAGAAATTTTAAATTATCAACTTTGAATGCAGCTGCACAATACTAAAGAGGCAGGGGGTCTCCAAAAGTCATGCGATGGCTCTGATTTAATTCAAACTGCTGAAATTCCTTTTGTTAAAAAGTAAATACTATACCGGTATAGAGATTTAATTGAAATAAAGAGATACTCACTGCAATCTGGCTCATAATAAACTCCATTGGCGTAGAAGCTGAGAGACTTGTGAGAGGCATCAATGGCAACAGAGACGGGACCTTTGTTGAAAATGGCCAGCTTTAGGGAGGACAGGTCACCCTGTGGCAATGTGGTGAAGTTGGACAGCTGGACCACAGGCTTGACAAGTTTGCTCAGGCAGAAGCTATCCTGAGGAGGACACATGAAAAGAGACTGGCTTAGTGATCACATTATTCTTTACCATTGCCCACTTCTTTAATTCATGGCTTAAATAGACCCTTGATTACAGTAATAATACTAAAGGGTAGACAAGGTACGTTGAAGCCTGAAATGAAAAGACAGGACAGTTAAAGGAGACGGGACAATGAAAAGAGACAGGACAATTAAAGGAGACAGGACAAAACAAGAAACAGTTCGAAAATTTCATAATACTAAGCAGTGCCGAAGATGACCAAGGCAATTCGGGACTTGAGTAGTAGCCTTGACTTGATTAATAGCCTTGACTTGAGCCGTATTTTGTTTAAAAATGAGGGAGAGCTGGTCAGTTCCTCAGCCTCACTCTCTTTTCTTTGCCTGAAAATAGACCACGTTGTAGTAGGATGTCGGAATTTTCATTGTGGCAATGTCAGAACTCTTATGAGATTTTGCCTTCTCTTAGATGAGTTTCTATTCAAAGTTAATAAGTCCCATCCATCTGGGGCTGGTGATGTGTTTGCTTGTCTAGGTGTTTTCTGGGCTTTGAACTCCAGTCCACTAGCTTGAGATTGACTCAGTTTAGACCGCTCTGCCACCCAGAACCCAGGTAGTGGCAGTTGTGCAACATTCAAATATTAAATTAGAGATGATGATTATTTTTTAAAAATAGCATTCTGGAGTATATGGTTTCGTGGTACCGGTACATGCAGTGTAGATTTTACCTTGTTAAGAATGTATCCTTTTTACAAGATCGGGGATGTAGACGGTCATGACTTTAAATATACCTGTATTTACTTTGCTACACTATTCTGATATCTTTGCAATGGGAAATTATATTACAGCACAGCACCAAAAAAAGACCCCATTGAAAAAAAAATTATCCTATTTGTGAACCCTGAAGTTTAAATAATTGCTTAAATAATTGTTTAAATAATAAGAGCAAAGTCAGCATTTCGAGACAACATGAATTAGAAAAGTTAGTACCGGTATATATGAACATTACGGTATATCAGACTTAATCAGAGTGAAATATAGCTACACTTACAACAGCCAAATACTGGCCATACTGCTCCTCACTTGTTAGACCACCATTCTGCATAATAAAATTGTAGGCTCTGAAGTCCTCACCACCATCACAACCGTTGTTGCCAAATCCCCAGGAACAGTCTATCAGCTCTTGTTGAGACAGTCGTACCAGGTTTCCAGTCTGTAAACACAAAAGCATAAGGAGAAAGGGATATCATGATACTCTAAAGGTGAGTCAAAAGAAAATTACCAAATACCAAGCAAATTGCTGAACAAAATGATAATTGCAATGCATATTTTAAAATCTTGACTCAGTGTAAATGATACTAGTACCCATTATTTAAAGATTTTGAAATTTATGCTCTAAACAAATTAAAGAATAAAATACCTTAAGGAAATTAGCACCTTCAATAGTTCCTGTTGTTCCAAAACTCCAACATGAGCCACAAATGGCCTGGTCTTTCACAGGGGTTACAGCGCCTGTAAGAAACCAATGACGATCTTAAATTTTTTTAACTGCTAAAAGTATATGTCACTGTAGTTAGAAAATAACAAATTACAGTGATAAATAGTTCCATTGTTCGCTCTTTAAAACTCAAAACTAAATTTTTTTAACAGATGATCTTCCTTAGCTCTTGCAAAGAATTTAAATAATAAAAATAAATATATATAAATTCTTCCATTTTCTCAACTGTAATTTTTAAAGTTGACGGATTTATATTACAGCGATTGCTCGACTTATGACCAATGCAACTTACGACCATTCGACTTTACAACCACAATCACTATTCATACTGCATTAGATTTCAGATTTATTGGTGCCTCAATTATCAGTTGAACGGCGTTGTCTTCAATCATTGTTGGTTGTGAACATCGAAAATTATGATTTATAGCAATAATAATAGAAATTTATGATATAATTTAACTTAACTAGTTTTATAATATTGCTTCACATTACTGTACACATAGCGAATCAACTTACGACCGAATCGTGTTACGACCGGTCTGTTGGAACCGATTGTGGTCTTAAGTCTAGCACTAGCTGTAATAAGAATTTTAATATATTTTAAGATAATTTTATTTCAAAAGAATTGATAACTGAAATAAATCTGCTTGAGGTATATAAATTTTTTTAAAGCATCCTTCCACTTCCAAGTAAAACTAACCCAGGAGTCTCCAGTCCCACTGGTCTGGCACATCCTGCTTGTTCATGGCAGCCAATGTGAACTTCTGGCCACCGTGGTCCCCGTGACTGTAGCGATAGCCTCGTAGAGATTTCATCTCTTTGTCTGTGCGGTCTGCCAGGTGGTTCACTGCCATTGTATATGAAAGCCCCGCTCTGTTCTTAGAATGAATGTATCTGAATATGGGGGAAAAAAAAATCCACTGAATAATTAAGAAAAATAAAATACTATTTATAAATACTTTTTCGTTTAATTAGATTGAATTTCAGGGAAAATTAGCAAAATAAAAATATTAAGCTATATTTATTTTTTGTGGATTGAAATGCAATAAATGATCAATAAGCTAACAAAATGTGAGGTGTCGTAAAAAGTCATTTGAGACAAAACAAGATAGCTAGATTATCTGCAAAAGTGTTCATCAGTTGAGAAACAATATACTAAATAAAAAGTGAAGAAGAATGTCATTTTTATTTTTAAATTATTTCAAATGATAAAAGCAAAAATATCCAGGAGTTGATACAATGGAATTTCATAAAATTATTTTCTTTTAAATTTCACTGACCAGAAAGATATTTGTTAAATCCTCCAGTGGATATAAAGCTATTGCATAATACGTCTAGGGCTTATCAAACATTATAATTTACCTGAGGTTTTGTCTGAAGACATGTTTCCTAGAGTCATGCTCATCCTGCTTGTACTCCTTACCATGAGCTCTCTTGAAGTGTTCAAACCCTTCATGGACATGGCCATCGTGGTGGTGGACATATTCACGAATGGGGTTCATCAGAATGACATGCTCGGCGCCAGGTCCGGGGAAACCTTGGCAGGTTAGATCTGTCAATATATTTGTGATGTTATAACCATAAAGAAGAGACCAACATAACTATCAACAATTATGTTACAAATTGGATGAGATTAAAAAAAAAAGTTCTTTAAGTTATTATTAATGGTACTTGTAATTTATAAAATAAATTTCATCAAAAACCTATTTAAAATTCATTGTGAAACTTTTACATCATTGCCGAGTGTGGTGAAATGAAAAAGCTTCTGAGACTGCGGTATGAATGATTATTTCAGCCAATAAGAGTAACAAGGGACAAGATCTGAACATATCATGTCCAGTTGGCTAGAATATTTGCCAAATATCAAAAATTTTATAAGAAATTGTCTCCTAAATTGACAATATTTTTCATATCAACTAGGTAAAGCATATGTCTGATAAAACCATAAAGTTAAGAGGTATTTTAGATTCTACACTTAATTTTCTACTTCGAGAATATGTGATTGTTAATATATTAATATCATATGTTTTCCTTTGTTTTGAACAATACCCAAGTTAAAATTCATGGTGTTGTTATAAAGTGTTACTTTCAAACATGTAAAATAGAAACTCACTTCTTGGCAAAGCAAAATCTTCATTTGAGAACCTGGCAGGAGATTCCCATCTCACGTAATCAACATAATATTTATCAAAATGTGACCCAAGCAGAGAGTCGTATCCCATCATTTCATAACGCACTGGAAAGTGATCCGTTTCTGTTGCCCAGAAAGTGTATGTGCTGACCTGAGGGTAGTCGTTTAAAAAGAACTTTGAATAAAATGTTAAAGTGGACAAAAAATAATAAATACAGTACCGGTGACACTTCTCTTGAGAATTAAAGTTAAAGAACCAATACATCGTCACCAAAGCATGGTTGCATTGTTCAGATTAAAAAAAATATGAACCATGTATACCAGGTATTGTAAGATAGCTCTTTATTTAAGCAAGAAAACATCTGAGACGGAAAGAATGATTCTGCAATAAAGGAACTAAAGTAGTTATACACTGAAATTTACTCTCTATTTAAATAACATAAAGGAAAGTACAAGATACATAGTAATACCATATACTGTATTAAAATATTCATATAAATCTAGATTCTAGATTGTCTTAAAGAGTTTCAACTCTTAGTACAGTAAAGTGAAAAATTCCAAATTAGTTTCTTGCAATTCTAGGAAGTAGGCCTACTGTAACTGCAGTAAAAAAATAATTTGAGTACATTACATCGTAATTAATATTTTTTTTTTAAGTTTTCATTAAAATAGAAAAATATACTTTACTTTTTGGCCGTCTGTCACCACTTTTTGGAAAGATTCCACCCTTCGACCATCAAGAACTTGTTGGCCTAAATACTGTAAGGCAATAATGGTTAAAAATGCTGGTGAGCAATGAATTAGAGTTAGAGACATCCTCTTTGCTCAAAATTGTATTTTCTACTAACAAGATTGCACTGATATTATCAGGAAAGCTTAATTATACATAACCATACAGTGTAACAGTCTTACTCTGACCCTTTCATTTAACTTATACATTAAGAACAAAGACTTAATGAACATGATACTATATATTGCCATTAGATAATAATTAATGTCAATAATTTAAAGTTCATAATCCATCATAACCTAACCCGTAGATGTGTTATGTACCCCCTTTCTCATAAAGGTCAGTAAACCATTTGATCCTGTAAAGGCTGAATCCAACTACTAACTGTCTTAAACCAATCACACACTACAATATCTGCTCATTGCTGTACAACAGTGAAACGCATGCCCTTAGAACCAAAGTCTCAGGCTGTTTATGACTAAGATTACCAAGAATGAGCAAGAGAGCTTCATATATGTGTTGAATATGCAAGAATTTAAACAACGAAACAAATGTGCAATCATAAAAATTAACAAATCATTAACAAGAAACCATTTCTAGAAACAATTTATGTCTATGTCAAGGCACAAAATTGAAATTTTTTTTTTTTTTTTCCCAAATAAATCTACAGTGATGTGCATATGAACTTATTTTCCTTAAGCTGGAAAGTCACAGGATGAAATTTCCAATAGGCCAGGGGTTCACACATTAAGCACATACATTCATGATTATATGATAGATCTCAAATTTATTTACAGTGAAACCAGTAAGATCTGGTAAAATGGTGGTCAGTGTTGCAGGATCATCGTTTGTCCCATTTACTTGGAAACATGAAACCTTGTTGTAGACCGACTGTGTGGTGAAGGGGACAACTTTAAGGTTGGTGCCAAAGGGGAGGCCAGGAGCTTGGCTATACTGGATGGTGCGCTGAATGCCTATGAGATGGGGTTTAACAGAAAATTAAATGTTTGTGTGACAGTATACATTCAGAATTGGACAGATATACCCACAATAAATTTTAATAGTTAAAGACATTTTATATTCTTTTAAAATACCAAGAGCATTTTATTAAACAATCCAGTAAATGAGTAATGAGTCTTTATTTTTTTTTAAATTTGTTTTAAATTATTCGGTAAGTTTATGTTGCCTTTCAATGACAAAATTTATTAATTTTGTGCATGATGCTCTAATAATGGCTAAATAACATTCATAACAAATAAGAATTACCATCATAATAGTCTACCCTGCTGCGAGAGTTTGGGGTGTCAAGAAAAGCTATAAAAGGCTCCACAATCTCAGCATAAGGCAAACGTATAAATCCTTCAGCTTTGTATGTGTCTTTGTAAACTGGTGGGTCTATTGCTTGAAATGCAGCAACTGGAAGAAAAAAAATGTACCGGTACCTATAACTATAAGTTACTTAAGTATAAGTCGACTACAAGTAAACAGAGTTAGAGTTGAGTAGGTTTGGTCTTGGTAAATTTTATTAAAGATTGTAAGTACTGGTAAATGTAAGAAGTAACGATAGTAGTACTATTACTTCTAAGATTATCCATCAATTTGCCCTAATGACTTGTAGAAGTAACAATGACAATCCATTAACATTGGTCCTACTCAACGTATGACTTGTTACAAAATCTAGCTGGCCTAGTGTGTTTTGTTTGACATTTTCATTGTTAAAATTTAAAAAATTAGCACCATTTAATCATAAAGTATGATGAAGTAGAAATGTAGCAGTAAAAGTAACAATAAAAGTGTTACGGGTACTTTTGTTTATATTTAGTTTAGGCTCTATCTAACTCTAAGAACTAGGATGTTCCTGTCCATAATTAGTTAATTATCTTTACTTTAAATTTTGACAAAACTTTTTTATACTTTGGCTTTTTAATATCAGTTACCATACTAGAAATAACTAAATTAAAATAGTTGAAATAATATTTAAACATTAGAATATAACTGTATTTAGTTTGTCAAATTTGACTTTTGTGGTAGTTTTAGTTTTAGTCATCATGTAGAGTTGTAGACCTACTTACTACTTCTGGTATACCCTACTAAGCCTACTTCTACTACTAGTCAGACTAAACTTAAATGCATTTTTTTTTACTCAAGTTATGTGAAGGTAAAAAGTATTACAACACTGTATAGTGTATATTTAATATACATCACAAATCAATAATAATTTGACTTGAAACTTACAAAGACTGCAGAAGGCCACAGTGAAAGTGAGTCCGATCGCCATTTTCACTAGGAAGAAAATCACATGATTGTAATTGCTATTTATACATGAGTTTATCAGTTTAACAAGTCACATGACAAACAGTCACATGCACATCGTTAGACTTGGACGGAGAAAAAGAGATAATTCTGATTTTTATTTTTTTATTATGTTGTCCACGTGTGTCAATGACAATGAGATCAAATGAGTTCATCAATGATATATATCACTACAGCTAATTCATTTTTAATCTGAGTATTTTGAGACATGCAATATTTAAGATCTCAAATAAAGCAAAGGATAAATATAAAAAAAAAATAGGGTGGTGGAGGGGGAGTGAGAGTAGGTAATAGGAGTAAGGGTAGTAAAGTAAAAGTAAAAGGAAATAACTACCAAAGAAGAGTAAACCTGAAAAAAAAAGGACAACACGAAACAAACAAAGGACGTGTTGGCAGAAAGACTTCTTCAGCGTGAGCAAACAACTAAAAAAAAAATTAAGGAAAAAAATAAAATAATAATTAAAATAATTTATTTCATGTTGAGGAGAGGTCGAGGAAAATCCATGAAATTAAAATGGGGTACAAGAATAACGCAAACCACTATATTAAAAAACAGCTAATTTAATTAATTTTTAAAATTTTATGCAAAGAGTAGTAAAATATACTAGTATACTAGTATAGTATTTGTTGTGTTGTCCTTGTATCACAGTTGCTTCTCTTTGTCGTTACCAATCCTTGATGCCCGATGTTCTTGAATTAAGACGTGAGAGGCCATGTTGTTTTGCTTGTGGCTGGTCATTAAACATCTACACACGAAACTGAGCAGAGGTGTCAGCTTTCCTTGTGCTAGACATATTATTACTAGATATAACATGGTATCAGCCTATTGAGACTATGGCAGAGAGAAATTATAATAAGCCTAGTGTACATCTTCCACGTTCTTTAAATGTAACGAAAGGATGTGAGGAATGGAAACTTTTCAAACAAATGTGAAGGAACTACTGTATTGTGGCACACATAAACACAGAGGGTGAGTTAGACACACACGCTGTATTCCTACACACCCTAGGACCAGATGGACTGACAATATATAATGGCATGCCTCTGACAGAAAAAGCACAATGTAAATGACGTCATAAGTGCGTTTGCTGATCATTTCGTGGGAAGGAGCAATGAGACATTTGAGAAGTGTGTTTTTAATAATAGTAAGCAGAAAGTGGATGAAACCTATGAGGACTATATTGCAGTACTACACGCATTAGCTAAGAAGTAAAATTTTTGCGACCACATGGTAGACTCACTGCTGAGAGACAGAATTGTGGTGGGCATAAAAGACAATGGTAACAGGAGAGAATTTTTGCAAGGAACGAAACTGACTCTGGCGACGTGTATAGACATATGTCGAACCCAAGAGGCAACTAACGTTCAATTATAAATTTTAGAAGAGAACACTGCCTAAGGAGCGTCTAGACGAGGCCTATGCAGTTCTGTCTGACATGGGGAGACCATAAAGACAACACCGGTCAAATGAACACGCAGTCTAAATGTAAATTTTGTGGACAGATACACATCTTCAACAAATAATTGTGTCCTCCATGAGGCAAAGTAGGCAAAAATCTGTCAGCAAAGAAATAATTTTGCTACTAAATGTAACCAGAAGAATCTACAATAGTGATGATTGCTAGTCGTTATCTTTAAATGAGGAAACCGTGCTTTCTGTGAAGAGCAAACAACATAATAAGGTCATAAAAAGCTGAGATGATCATTGCTGGGGAGACAACAGTGTGTCAGATTGGCTCGGGTGCCAGCGTTAATGTGAGTCCGAGTAAGCTCATCAAAACAGCTCAAGTCACTCCCAACAATACTAAACTCCGTGTTTATGATGGAAGCACACTCTCGCCTATTGGGAAAGTAAAATTAACTCTACAAAATCCAAGAACGAAGAATATATACTGTGTTGATTTCATCGTCGTGTGAAATAACCTGACCCCACTATTAGGGAAGAAAAATAGGGGCTTATAGAACTGTTAATTACCATAATTTTGAAAGAGTCGATAAGATCGATGTGTATTTATCCAAGATATCATGTTCCCTTAAAATATTGGAACATTTCCAGGACAGATTTGACGACCAGCAGGGATACTTACCTGGAATCGTACACCCAGGGGTGAATCCTGGGGTCACACCAGCTTCATGCTCATCTGGTCATGTACCGCTAGCAATGGAACTTAAAGTGAATACTGAGGTTACACCTGTTACCTGCTCACCTGGTCGTGTACCACTTGCTATGGAACCTAAAGTGAACGCTGAATTAGAACGATTGACCAACAGAGGTCAGGTATCATCGAGCAGCCTGTTGACAAACTGACTGGGGCTAGTCGACTGGTGATCAGCAAAAAGAAATTAGAACTCCGTATCTGCATGGATCCTACTGTCCGATGCCTTAATGGTTTTCTAAATTTGACCTGGCTAATGCTTACTGGTACGTACATCTTGATAAGGAATGAAGTCCAATGATTATATTTCAAACTGCTTTTGGGCGATGCAAATGGAAAAGACTACCATTTGGGACATCTTTAAACTCAGAATTTTTTCAAAAACTTCTTAATGTTGCTCTTGAAGGACTTGATGGTGTTATACGTTTCACAGAGGATATCATAGTTTATGGTTCTGTCTTGATGGACTTGATGGAGTGATAGATGTCGCAGATGATATCATAGTTTATGATTCTGTCTTGATGGACTTGATGGAGTGATAGGTGTCGCAGATGATATCATAGTTTATGGTTCTGATGACACATCAGAAGCAGCGTCTCGTGATCACGACAAGAACATTATCACTTTGTTAGCGAGATGTCGTTCTGTTGGAATAAAGCTTAACAAGGATAAGGCTGACATTAACGTGAGGGAAATTTCAAACTTGGGTCATGTGAAGGTTTCAAAATAGATCCTGAAAAATTATTCCCAGACTATCTGACACCCTCGAGCCTATTCGACAAATAATGCGTACGGATATCCAATGGTCATGGTATGAAAAGCATGACACTGCCTTCTTGGAAGTGAACTCCAAGGTGACAAAGGCTCGTGTTTTGGCATTCTATAATTCCACAAAAGGAGTGACGATACAATGTGATTCTAGCCAAAAGGGACTTGGGGATGTACTGATGCAAAATGGTAAGCCTGCGCTAGTCAGTCTCTGACTGACACCGAAACTAGTTATGCACAGATTGAAAAGGAAATTCTAGCCACTGTGTTTGCTCTGGATAAGTTCCACCAAAAAACCTTCGGTCGCCACACTCTGATTAAGAGCGATCATAAGCATTTGGAAGCAATCATGGCGAAACCTCTGTCGGCTGGTCCTCGTAGACTACAAGGAACGATGCTGAGCTGAAGCTTCATCAAGATTATGATAAAAATGTGAAGCATAAAAAGGAAAGGGAAATATACCTTGCTGAAACACTCTTAAGAGCCTACATTCAATCATCTGAGGGCAATCAAGATGAATTTGAACATATACATATGACCAGTCGGTGTTCCTGTCTATTCGCGAAGAAAGACAACGTAGACTGAAAGAAGAAATTTGAAAAAGATAATACTCTTCAAAAACTTAAAACTATAATTACTTCTGGCTGGCCTGAGGACAAGCCTCTATTACATAATGCACTACAACCTATTACAGTTGCCAAGATGAAGTGTCCATTCAGGATGGTCTGGTTTTCAAAGGTGCAAGTATAATAGAAGCTATGTCCCTCAGATCAGAGATGAAGAAGCTATTCTATTCATTCAACACACATAGGAATCGAAGGGTGTCTGAAAAGGACACGCGAAAATCTATTCTGGCCGCGAATGGCTGCTGAAATCAAACATTTCTTTTCAACGTGTGATGTATGTCAAGCTCTTCGACCTGACCAACAGAAAGACTCTCTAATGAGTCATGAGATCTCAAAACACCCATGGGAAAAAGTTGGCGTGGATATTGTTTAATTAAAAGGGAAATTCTACGAAATCTGCGTGGATTATTCCAGTGACCTATCAGAGGTTGATAGACTGGAAAACACAAGAACAGAAACTGTGGTCAGAAAAATAAAGGTTCAGTTTGCAAGATAGGGCATTCCTTGCGCGGATTTGCAATTCACATCAGATACCTTTGCAAAATTTGCCATAGACCGGGATTTTGATCACTCCACAAGTAATCCACACTACGCTAAATCTAATGGAAAAGCAGAATCTGCATTTAAAATATTCAAACATCTATTAATAAAGTATAAGGATGATCAATTCTTAACTTTACTAAATTACCGCAATACGCCAAATCAAACGGGTACTAGTCCAGCATCGTCATGTTTCAATAGAAGAACTAGAACACTGCTACCAACAGCCCAAAGTCTGTTAAAGCCACACATGACTGATCCCGAGAAGCACAGATCAATACTTAGAGAAAAGCGGATGTGGTCATCAACCTACTACAATACACAGGCCAAGGACTTACCACCCCTTGAAGAGGATGATGCGGTGAAACATAACTGTACTGGAGAGGCAATAAGAGATGGGAAAGTGAGTTGTAACTAAACAGCTTCATGAAACGATCATATGAAGTTGCATCGGGTGGAGGTATTTATCGTTGCAATCGATCTAATCTAGAAGGGTTGTTTCGATCGATGAAGATACTGCTACTGCATCCCATAGAGTTCCAGAAATTCGACATCCCGAGGCCCCTCTACCCTATCAGTACCAACACTCGGAGACACCAAAATAAATTCCGACTTCCAATATCCTAACATCAGGCATCCCGAGCGACCAGATAAGCCAAGATTTGTTGGTTACCTGTTTCATGTCCTTTTTTTAATGTTTTGATGTATTATCATTTTTTAGCTTCCCCTTTTAAGGCACTTCTTACGTTCTTCCACTCATATTTCTCACCGACATCCCTGCCCTCTTGACTTTCACTGCTGTTGTCTCTAGCAACATCCCTTTACTCTTGTCCGTCACTGCTCCACTATAACTTCCTTCAAATCCGCAATGAACCAACTTCGTTCCTTTATATTGACTGTCTTTAGCTTACCTCCACCGAACCTAGCCACCGACTGTAAGGAACTTGCCTTCACTCTCTTTAAGAAAACCAGATACAATGTACATCTCAATCTTCTTCATAATTGCATACGTCTCTGCATTATACCTAAAAGCTTTACGAGTAATTTCAACCCGGTGGCTGGCTCCTTCAACTCTGACGACATGGCCAAACTTCAATCTCTTGGGAGGAAAATAGCATTTCAACGTAAGCGTATGTACACAGTCATAAGGGTCTCATCACCGATCTCAGTGCCACCTTTCACCAACTTCAAGATCTCATTATCGCTAAGACCTCTAATAATTTCGTATCTTATGACCTAATTAGAACGATTATCAACCAACTCAATCGTCAACTTTATCTCTTTCTGTCTGCCAACAAAAAAGAGAGAAAAATCTTAAGCCCACCAACAGCTCAACATCTCATCAACAGTCAATGGTAACAACTTGGTCGTATGCATCCCCCTGACCGTCCAGTCTCTGGTGTCCAAAGGTGACTACTCTCTAAGGCAGGCCCACAAAACATACGGCCCGCGGGCCACATGCGGCATGCCAGAACCCACTTTGCGGCCCGCGAATTAACGAACTATTTTTTTAACATTATTTTCTTAATAGCTTTCCCCCTGTCCTACTTCCTTTTGGCCCCCATAAGTCATTCCCTATTAGTTTTTCATAAAGTATTACTGCCTGACTTTCAATATGAGTTGTGCACGCCTGCTCTAAGGGTCTTAAATGTATTCCACTCAAACCATCCTGCAAGTGCTACTTTCAGATTCTCACCGCTTCTTTTGCTCATTGAGACTTCAGTTTCCCTTTCCTGGGAAAAGTACCAACCTCCCTGATGACGAGCTATTTCCGTTCCATAGAGAACGCAAATCTATTTAGACACTACCATATAATACAGGCTTGCACACCATGCGACCCACCAGCACCCACTTTGCGGCCCACGAAATAACGACACATTCTTTATTATTGTTATTTTCTTAAAGGCTCCACCCCCCCCCCCTTGTCCTATTTTCCCCCACAAGATTTTTTCAAAAAGTATTACCGCCCCCCTTACCTTTTATGCGACCCACCAGCCCCCACTTTGCGGCCCACGAAATAACGACACATTCTTTATTATTGTTATTTTCTTAAAGGCTCCACCCCCCCCCCTTGTCCTATTTGCCCGCACAAGTTTTTTTCAAAAAGTATTACGGCCTGCCTTACATTTTCAGTCGTGCAGGCCTGATATAACCAATCCAAAGCTTTAGACTTGTACATAAGTAGCACGGAACATGACGTCAAGAACTTCCCTTTGCCTCCACTCCGGAGCGCCAGTCCTTCGAAAAGAGAATCTAAGCTACGTAGCAGAAAACAATATCAAACCAGCAGACAAAGGTATAGCCGTCATTGTGTGGGACAAAGATCTATACATAAAAGAGGCACACGGGCAATTAGAAGACAGACGGTTCTACCGACCGAGGACCAACCACCCTATTACTCAACATAATGACATGGTAAAAGAGACTATACAAAAATGATCGCAAAATCGGCACTCTCCAAATCGGCCTCAGCCTTACAAAGCTTTGATAGTGACCTCCGTAAGCCATGTTCCCACCGACTTCATAAAATACACAAGTACGGTAACACTGGCAGACCCATTGGTTCAGCGTGCTCTTGCCCAACTCGGAATGATGTACAAGATAAATAATGGGCTGGTCCACTGTTCCAGTATTAAACAGAAACTCGTCCCTCTCCCCTATAGACAGCGACGAGGCCATGACAGGCAATTCAGGCTCATACCAGCAAGAAGCCAGTATAGGAGCTGCTCATTCCTGCCCAAGACAATCAGGGACTGGAACCATCTTTCAAAAGGAACAGTTGAGGCATCAAGCCTTCAAACCCCTAGTGCATAATTTCCTCATCACCACCAGTAACAGAAACATTGCAAATCCCATCTACATGCATAGGAGCCAAAATGATCAATAAATTGATCGTGGGCCCTTAAGATATAGAAGAAGGAGAAGAAGATTCCTTGGGGTTTTTCAAACCATCGTAGCTTCACCCCCACATACATTAAAGATAACTGTGCTTTAAACAAATTTGAATCTTACACCATCCCTCCTGCTTGATGATGTATGTTCTCTGCATACTTCTACCCCCCCCCACCCACCCACACACACACTGGAGGTCTCTTAACTTTAAAATTTTTCTAGAGAGTAAACGCCATCCATCTATACCCACCAATACCCTCCTCCGATTGGCTGCACTGGTCCTCGTCCTCAATTCGTTTGAGTTTGGTGGCAAATCAGAGGTGTTGATAGGGGACTAAAATGGGACCTTGCAACTCTTGTTTGTTCATGGGA